TGTGATACACCAGAAAATTAGAAACTGATGAAATAGGGAGTAGAGCTAATGACCACTTATAAAATATACATAAGGTTTGGGAAAGAATAGTAAATAATTTGTACAGTGATTGGCTAAGAGAAAACAAAAGATGGTTATTAGTGGAGTCCAGTCCAATTGAACTTTTTATACCTGTAGAAAGCCTCAGGAATCAGCACTTTAGCCTTTACTTTTTCTTATTTACCTTAATGATAAAAGCATAATTACTAAACTAGTACAATTTGCTGAGGGAATTAAACTTTTGGTTATTTCTATCTGTATATGATGAGGTACTATAGACTGACTTGGATGAATTGATAAGTTGGACAAGTATTTGGCAAATAACTTTTTTCACAAGTCTAAGGTAATGATTTGGGTTATAATAATGAGGATAGCATGCTTAATGTAGAGAGGAACTCATTTAATAGTACTTAATATTAAAATAAGGTTAATCAGAGCCAGAAAGGTATCACATAGTTTATGTATAGCACTAATCAAAAGTTTTGTGGGGATTTAACTTAAGTTAAACTGCATGTATATATTAATATCACCTTGACATTGTCATTGTTTGAATCAAATTCACGACTTTTAAAACTAGTAATATGATAAGTTTCATTACAGTCATGCAGTAAGTTCAATGAACACAATATAAAGTAAAAGAAAAAGTAATTTTGATGAATTTGCACTATTTGCGCAGGCCTGTTTAGACTTTACATTAACCAACTTTAGATGTTTAGTTTTGACACCTGGAAATAGGCAGTTGAGTTGTGTGGAACACTGGGAGTATAGAAAAATGTTATTGTACTAACATGTCAATCACACTATGATATATCTGCTGTATCCTGTGTTGACCAGGGTTTTTAAGTTCACTTGGGCGCTCTAATCAGTAAATTTATAAAATTATGTTTAACGATAACTAAACCTTAAATTAAAAATAATTAGTAGTATTTAAAATTGTAATGTTGTATAAACCATTTACCCTATTGCAACTGCAAAGTGCAAGAAAACTCAGTGTAGTACTGAGCGAAAGGAAGAGAAAGGTTCGTTGCATCTTACCTTAGTTTAGAAATTTAATACACATTGATCATGTTTCTAAATGATCAATAATAGTACACACTATACAGAACTGCATTAAAAATACTATTTTTATGGCGGTTTATTAGTTTAATACGCCACATCTGCAGAAGTTTTAACGTTTATTTTTAAAGTGTTGTACAACTGCGTAACATTTATCCCACGTTTCGATTCGGCTGCTCAAAAAAGTTATAATTACTGAAAGTGCCAATAGCAACAGTCGCCGTGCATCATAATCTTAGAATATTGTTACGTCTCCGTTTGTTAATTAATTTTCCGTAACTTCGTTCCGACGAAACTTTAGCGACACAAGTCCTTACTTAATAAAACTGGTTTATTCTTTCCGAATATAACTTTACGATACACTTATTTTCAACAATCGCGCTAAAACAAACGCTATATCAACGAACGTCAATAATACTTCTGACTGCAGTTCAATTACTCACTATCTACACACACATTACATTCTTGCGTCACGTTGTCACCCTCTTTTATATACCAGACTACCCTATATCTAGCAAATACTAGAGCATTCGCCAAGGTACAGGATAGTTCTAGAAACGTGGCGTCACAGTAGTCATGTGACTCGCTGACGCAACAATATTATAGCCACGGCAGATGCGTCTTACTTGTCTATTCACACGGCAAGACTATATAACGGAAGGTCGGTTGGTTGTAATTAAGCACAAAGCTGCACAATGGGCTATCTATGCCCTGCTCACCACGGGTATCTAAACTCGGTTTACAACGTGTAAGACTGCACACATACCACTGTGTAAACCGGAAGTTTAAAAAAGCAGGAAAGTGGCAGATGTTTTCATGTTACAATATATGTTAAAGGCACATTTAGTTTTGAACCGATTAGCAATCGTACGATAAGCTGGCAACATTAAAGCATACTTGATGGAATGGCATTATATTGTAGAACTAGCTAGACTACCCTTCCTTTGGACGTAAGTTATGTAAATTCATGATTAATGAAAGGTCATCTTGGGACACGAAAAGTTGCTTCCCTTATATGTAATTGTAAAAAACTCCCATAAAAACTGCAAAACATAGAATATGAAACTGCAAGCTTGCATATATCTCTGCATGGACCCAACAAACCTTCATGCTAAATTTGATGAAGATCCATCAACTGGGGGCGAAGTAGCGGTGCAAAAACACAAAACTGAAATTTTTTATTTACCCCCGCATGGACCTAATGAGTCTTCATACCAATTTGGGTGAAGATCCATCCACACCATGCAAAGTAGTTACATGGACAGACAACAGACAGTACTATTATATTTATATAGATACTTGCTCGGTGGAGACACACTATCAGCACAACAAATGCTGTTATTAAAATTACAGTTGGCATACATAAGTGTCTTTTTCTTCGTTAAAAATAATTTCCTCTGAATGCTTTTTAGAGAACATATCCTTTCAGATTTCACCATATAATTTTTGTCATGTACATAAAGTTGTAAATTTGTAAACTTATATCTAAAGTTTTTACTTACATATTATCAGAAAATAATCTGGTTACCTTTTTATTTCCTTATGTTTGATACGAAATGAAATAATGTGTGAACAATGTATAGATCTCAAAATGGAACTTGTTGAACTCTGCTGTTTTAAGGTATAAGGGTTGTGGCAGTTGTCAACCAGGTAGAATACAACTCTTGTCAACCGTAGTTAAAGCCATTTAGTACATATAGGTCTAAGTACAAATTTGAAAAGAAATGACTGTACATTGGGCCAAAATTTGGGCACCTAGTAAACAATTGTATAATGACTGCAATCACAATAAATTTTGGAACCAATGGAGTTGGTACGTGTCATTTGGCACAGTCTGAAGTTGTGTGGTTGTCTTTTTTTTATAAATTTTTATTAATATGAATACTTTCACTGCGGTAAGTATTATCACTTAAGAGTGATGTGAAAACTGTTGGTCTTTTTACTGCAATACTTTAAGTATAGTCACAGCAACACATATGCAAAATTCTATAGCTACCTATAAAATCATATTTACAACATTGAGTCTAATTACTCTTATTATCCAGGATATAGGTAAAGTTCGTTACTGATTGAATGCATTTAATAAGAAGCAAAGTATAGAGTAAAGGCGTTCCTAGTCACATCACAGATTTCTTTCAACTTCCTTTATTAGTACACTCTAAGGGCCTACATGAAATCTACCCAGTTTACAGAATTCCTTACCGGCATTTTAAATTACCCCCTTGTGTTTGCGAGCTTCTCTTGTACAGCACATGCTAGCCTATGGTCCCAAACCAGTACAGCATGAAGCGTTTCCTAACAATAATATGGTCCATAATGATGCAACTCTAAGACATCCACTTGATGAAATGCATGTGTAATTTAAACTAGAATGTATTTATTGTGTACAATTTATAGAATACAAATCCTGACATTTATTAAAGGTGATAGCATGTTTAATTACAAACAATGACAACACTGAAGTAGAAGAAAAATGGCTGAAACAAGTACATATAACAAATGAAATGGAACTATATATACATCCTGTATTCATTGATATTAAAAAATAATGACCAACATTTTAAGAAAACAATTAGTTTGTATGGTTTATGTGTATTAATTTTCAATTAATTATGCCTCCATCATATCAAAGGAAGTGAAAAATCAATACATTTGTATTTGAAAAAGTACTGTTTATACTTTGCTAAATTAGATGGCTTATTTTTTTAATTCGCGTGTGTCTTCTTATAGTAAAGCCACATCAGGCTATCTGCTGTGTCCATCGTGGGGAATCAAACCCCTGATTCTAGCATTGTAAATCCGAAGATTTACCGCTGTCCCCCCGGAGGACTTTTAATTCATATCATGTCAAATCCTGTTAAGAATGCTCTTCTCGTGAGAAAGGAGCCTTTGGTTAGTTATAACCTTGTCTGAAGAACTCTTTTTTTTTTCCTTTTTCTATAGAGGTCATGCGGTATGCAGACAATTAAATCACAAGAAATGACACTCCGCTAAATTATATATATTTTTAGGCATTTTGTAGAAATCCTGAATACATAAATTTTCACAAAATGATCTGTATATTTCCAATGCATTTTAACAATTTCGCTATTGACTCTACATGGTTTCCGGATTTTTTAAAGTTGTCACGTTCACGTGGAGTATGACATAATATATATCTACAATTAAAGTAAGCCTATTTCAAATTTATTGGCTTTGGCAATTGGCATTTATTATGAAAACTGAAATAGTTATTTAGTAAGTTTTTAATCCTCAAACTAGCTTAAGTTACCTTATACGTTAGGACTGATTCTCAGTTTTCTGTAAATAAACATTGATTGACGAATGTGTCTTCAATTTTAAAGAGTATATAGCTATCTTCTATCTACGCCTATATATATATGTAAAATATATATGTTAAATCTACCAATAATGATGTGCATAAAAAATATTTACTTGACATTATTTATGTTGAAACTGTTATCTTGTGAAGGGCTTCTGGCTTCAAAATTACTGATCGTGTACAATATGTACTACAGACTAGTGTTTTAAAATTAAATTACATATACTTTACATAGGTATGTATTTTTTTTCCCGGTAGAGTGTGTGTGTTTATAGCAAAGCCACTAAGGGCTACCTGCTGTGTCCACCGAGGGGAATCGAACCCCTGATTTTAGCGTTGTAAATCCGTAGACTTACCGCTGTCCCACGGGGGGGGGGGGGCTTTCCCGGTAGAATTTTAGAATCCAATCCGTCACTGACTAACCATGACAGATATCGATGCGCGATCGCCACAACCTTACCATAATTCCGCAGTACTTCGCATTTTCCAGTTCTTACTAGTAAGGAGTAATACCAACAGCCGTAAACATAGTCCCTACCTTACAAAACTTTGCTAATATTAGTACTACTACATAAAAAATTACCTTCCCATCAAAACAGTACCTAAAACAACAAAACTAATTCCAAAATAAACGTCCCCGAAAATGCTATTTGACGATGCAAATTCCATAAACTTCACCATGATAACACTAGGTAGAAATACACTTTAATAACTAAGCCACTTCGAAGCGTCACGGTACAATGGAGTGTGCGCAAAGTATTCTGTGATTTTAAAACTTGTTTACTATCGGATACACAGAAAAATAACAGTAGCTAACACAAAAAACTAGATGATGGATACACAAGACCTACAGTACGTAAAAAAAATTATGTTGAAAAAAGTCAAACAATTAGTACTATTTTTTTATGCATGCGGAATCTTGATCATGAAATCAAATGGCAGTCAGCCAAAGTAATGTATAAAAGTTATGCCAAAAAAAGAATTGTTGAAGCTTTGTTAATCGTAAGGTTGCCAAACTTCAAACACCACTGAAAGTCAATTTAAGCTGAAATCCTTTCTCACGTCATAAGCCGGATTTGGATCTTTCGGTACAAAATAAATAGTTTATACGTTTCTTTCAACAAACAATAAGTACAACTATGCACAAAAACTTGAAAATGTCCAATAAATTTAGTAAAGCATTAGTCTAAAATACACAACAAAAATTGCGATATATTAATATAAAATGCCTTAGTGTTGGAGATCATAATTTCTAAATGTCAGTACTGTTACGACAGCAGAAGTCATGTGACGCTGGTAACACGTAATGAGTCCTAGAAAGACCGGGGAACATCACGAATAATCCAATATTTGCTAGGCGCCCTCTATTCTTGTATACAAGTGCGCCTGACAATTAACCAGGATTGTATAACAGACAGAGAGATTTAA